AATTTAATGAATTTATAAAAGATATATTCTGCTGTAAAATATATACTTTATCCGTTCAAACTTTCGTTTCTCAAATATCATATTTCTCTAGAACAACAATCTAAATCAATTTTATATCAAACGATAAGTAAATATGAGTCGGATAAACACAAAATCTAAATATAGTTTATCGAGAGAACAAGAGAATAAATATATATATATAACTTAAATACAAAAATAAAGTACTACATTTATAAAATTTTAGTATTAATAATAATAGACAAACCCTTATGTTTCATTAATATTTTTTTTTTCAATTTTTTCAAAAAGTGACAAATTGAATTGTATGATAATTAATTAGTTTTTTTCTTTTTAATCGCTCCTATTTCACAAGTTCAGAAGAAACACGAAAAAAATACATAAAAGTATCTTTATAAGACGTCTTCGAGAGGAATTTTTAACATCTTCTGCATATTGAAGTGGACGAAGATCTGAAAATAAAGGTCGATTGTGCCGTGACCCTATTCAACTATTTTATTCGATCCCGAGATGTGAAGAAGGACGAATTATGAAGAGACTTTTATGTTTTTTAGTGTTTCTTCTGAACTTGTGAAAATTTTTACCGTAGTTATCGTCCCGGTTTTATATTTTTATTTTACGATTAATTTAGTCTCGTTTCGTGCCTGTTAAACAGAGCGTAACGGTAGGGAGGCGTAAGTAAAGTACGGAAGTTTTCATCCAATACAAAATTATGCAAAACAATGACGTATCCAGATACTGTATTGAGAAAATGTTCTCTGTTATGTATAAATCCCAGATCGAAATTAAAGTTCCCAGAAAGAAATTAAAGAAATTTAGTTGGTGTTTACACTTTTTTCCTTCAAAGAAAATGCATTATACCGCACGTGTTTGATGCGTGCGGTATAATGCCAATAATAATTATTGAAACGTTAATCCTCCGTTATATTTTCCAAAAGCTTTTAATCACAGAAAAATAAATGTTTTGCTCTTTACAAATTGACAATATCGCTGTTTAATGTTATATTTTTATAATGTTGTAATATAAATGCAATTTTTCTAACGAAAATATTATTATCCACTATTGAGTATCAGATACGGTATCAAATTTTATTTAAAAAATTTTCCTTTAAATATTTTAGGAATTATTCGATTCCAAATGAAACACTTTTATATATAAAAATATATTTTAATACCAAGCGTTTATAATTTGAAAAACAAACAAATTATTGAAAGTATTAATGATATTTTAGAAGGGAGAATGTCGGAATTTGATGATTATGAATTGAATTAGTTGATATTTTTAGAGATATTCTTCTTTATTCTATAGGAATCGGCAGAAATAAGCTACTATATTCAATTTTGTTTCTTTTATTTTCTTCAAATAACAGTAAAGAGCAGTCATTTATTGAAAATATGAAACATTGTAGCATAACATTCCAGAAATTCTTTGTTCATTATTGAAGAGTTCGAAGCAAATCTGCACTTTTGATTTTTGTTATAAAGACTTCATTTTGAGCAATTTCTCGTTTAAATTCTAAATATACAATTTTGACGGTTTTCTAAATAGCCATAGCCAATTTATTAGAGAGGACCGAATATTAGATCTTCGGAATTCAAACCTATTAAACTTGCACCTAGCATTTTTGTTTCTTTAGGCTACGACGAAATTGCGTTTTGCTGCGAATTTTCAAACGTTGCTTCTCAAATCGCTCTCAGGCATAAGTGAAATGGTGAGCTTGTTTTCATTTAAATCAACTTACAGACAAGCATTTCCTGACACAAAGCTGCAAACATCTTTCCATCTCTTTTAAAAAGAAAAAATATGCCGCGGGTCGGTCCCGATGAAAATCTGATACCAGTTGATTACTTCCGATTCTCTAGATTGGAGAAACTTTGATGTGAACTAGTTCATTACACCACTGCAATCTTCTCAAAGTAGCAGTCGGTTCCATTTTACACAACACAGAATTTCTCCCTAAATTAATTCTCTATCAAATTTATTAATAATCTACCGCATATTTTGGCTTCTCTTATTGTTTTTAATAACTATTTCCGCCTAAATCTTAAATACTAATTGATTTATAAGTAATTATATATGATGCAATCTTAAAACAGTAAAATAAATGATAATCATGAATGTTAATAACCGAAATATTTATGATAAATTTAATTTTTTGAACTGTAAATATAGAAAAAAAAAACGATAAATATTTTAAAGGGAGGAAAATATCTTGAAGTTAATTTTATTAATAACGAGACTGATCTAATTTGGGATCGACCGGAAATAAATATCTAATTTAATTTAAGCCGCTTTAAGACATCGTTTGCCATCTAGCGGGAACAAAACGAACTTAATGATATCTGTCCAAGTAATTTAATTTTATCAATTCTATAGCGATTTAAATAGTGACACGGAGGAAAATTTAAAGGGAGAAATTTGTATCAAATGTCATTCTAATGTGCAGCCGACTGAAATTTGCGAGAGACTAATCATTTCCACCATCTTTTCCTTCCATTATATCACTGCACTATAATGTAGTTTGGAAAGCATTCCACAGTCCATTACCAGTCGATTTTCTACATTTTTATAAATCTAAAACTCTGCTCTCTTCTCACTTACTAATAATAGCAGATAGAATTTCCCCATTTAATTGCTGGACGATATCAAATTTATAAAGCGACGGCACTTCTGACCCACTTGGAATCTCTTTCAAGTATTTTGGCAGCGTTATCGCTTTAGTTAGTAAATAATGCCGACCTTGTGTGCGAATGACATCATAACCACGTAACGGTATCATCACACGTATCTAAGGTGTCCCCTCGTTATTTTTCACTTTACTCTTCGTCTTAATTAAAATTCCTGCTTATTAACTAATTTACGAATTTATTGATAATTACACTACGTAGAAAATTCGTTCTTTAAAATATAGGCTACACATTTAGAGCTTGGACAAATTTCCTCGTTTTATAAAAAGCCGAATATAATTTCCATATTTTAGTTTATTTCGAACGTTTTTATACGGTTTTTACCGTCTTAAATGGAAGAATGTTAATGTTATTGATATTTCTTAGAAAGACGAATGAATAAGTTCAGTCACTTGCATATATTTCGAATACAAAACTGCAATCCTACTTATTTGCCTGATGCTATATTCTGATTTCCCTTTACTTGCCAATTGGCTATTCCCATGGAATGTGTCTAGCAACATTACAGAATTAGTACGAATCGGATGTGTTTAAATATTTTATAATAAATTTATTATTCTAATAGCGAATCAAACTTTTTTTTTAACTCGACTCTTATTCCACTAGACGACATCTAGTGTCTGTAAAATAAATCAAAAGGGAGGAACTATCTGTCGACATCACGCCCAGAGTTACTTTATCACATCCCATGTCACGGGGATACGTGACATCACGGAAAAGATGCGTGATGCGTGTGATGATGCTCTTGGCGCAAGTTTTAAAATTAATCTCATTTTTAAGGCAATCAGATTTCTGTAAATATTAAAATGGTTTTTAAATGACCTGTTTAATCATGTTTTTCCTCACTTCATACTCTTGTTTACTTCTGTTGAATTAATTAGGGAAAGAAACAGATGCAAAAACCAATCCCGATCAAATTACCTTGGTTATGGTGCTGAGATAATCGAAATGGGTGGAGATCGTTACAGATATTTATCAAGCGAATGGGAGTGGTTTGTATTTAAACAAGCGAATAATTCAAATTTTACTACATTCTTAAGTTGTAAATATAATATTCATTTTATAATTCGTTATTTTAGGCCGTTATTTTAAGTTAGGAAAAAAAAGATAAGAAATTATCGTGAGAAAAACGTCACGTTTTCATCCAACTTATCCTAAAATGCTTCATTAAAATTAACGTGACTTCCTTGTTAGATATAAGCTATTGATGATAAGCTTCTTGATTGCGATCGACTAACTCCTACACAAACTTGTTGTTGACAAAATAAAGATGCTGGAAATTCAGGCTTTATAATATAGGCTAGTAAAAAATTATTATATTAAAAGCTCCATTTGCTTTTTCCAGATTATTCGGGTGGAGCGTGAAAACAGTATCTATAGCTTTAAAATGAGAGCCGACAGACTTTACGACTTTTCGCCCACGTGAACAAAATAATCCCCCGGAGAAACGGCCCATTTGGTTATTATCCAATTATATAATTACAAAAACGGTATTAAACGAAAAAATTTCTTTGTCTCAATTTAGCTCTGAAGCTTTTTTTAGCATTATTTTGTTGTAAACAACGTTCTTTCTTTCTCTCTCCTTTTCCCTTCGCACTTTTGTTCGGATAGGGCAAGAATTTTAAGAGGTGTAACTCGTAGATTTACTGTCCACTGCTTCTGTCATTAGTGAAATAATGAAAAGCGATCGCCTACATTATATAGCAGATATAATCATTAAATTGGCCATGAAATGTGACTGTAGGTGGCCAAAACTAATCTTAATGCCACCTCAATTCTATATTATAAAATTGGACAAAATAAATAAGTTTATTATACAGAGAACTCGAAAAAATAAATCTCAATGATTCTTTGTCCAATTAAAAGAAACATAATATCTATAAATGGAAATCGATTTATTTCTTTAAGAACGATTTCTATGTTTATGTTGATGAATAAAGGGTTAAAAGGAGAAAGTTGCCACCCAAAGCTATTTTTACGTTCTCGTTTAAGGAGAAACCCGTTTCAAAACAGTTTTTTTCTTCCCCATTTGTTTTTCGCATAACTTTATTAAATCGAGATAAAAATCTCTCTCTTTTGACATTTATTGTTCATAAAATATTCTTCCAATAAGAAATACATAAATCTCGATAACGTATACTCAATATGTATACATTATTTCCATCCCGTCGGTACGGTTACTGCGCAAGAACACGTTCACTTTTTTTTTTTTAATCCAGCTTTATTATAGAAAATACGTAATTTTAAAAAATTTTTCACGAGGGGTGCTTCCCTCCAAACAATTTCAATTACCCTCCCAGTGAGCAATGACATTCGTGACGTCACATTTTCCGCCTACATCGGCGCATGCGATGTAGAATCAAGGCCGTATTTAATTCCTTTATCTGGCGCGGTAGCCAAACTCCGATTTCAGTTTTGTGTCAAGAAGTTGAATACCTAAGCCACCGTTGTGACGTCATCATGAAGCATTTTTGTTTGTTTTCACTTTTTATTCATTTTGTTGTGGCCAAACGAATTTCTAATTGGCACATAAAGATAGCCCAAAGTCAAGGGTAAGGCTAAATATATACTGTATATTCTATACTCAACTTTTGCCAATTTGCTTTTAAATATATTTAAAGTCCGAGATATAATTAAGAAATAATTTTTAAAAAGTTTTTAAATTATTTTTTGTTCTTTTAAATGTTTTAAATTAAATTGTCAAAGTTTAAGATTGCGATTTTTACCTTGTAAAATGTACGTCATTTTTCTATTGTTTAAAAATTTAATTGGCATTTTTAAAATTAAATTTTATTCCATAATACAACATTAATTTCCATTAACAACCCAAATTTAAAATTAACTTTTCTAATGAAAAAAACCAATTTTTTAATATCATTTCCATTCTAAATAAATTGATATTAATATTATATTTCAAAACAATTATTATTATTTTTTTTCAGAGCGTATTTTACATTAATTTTACAAGGAAATGTAAAATTAATGTAAAAATACTCGTTTGAGTAGAGTAATTTCTTTTCTAATAATCCGAAGGTTAATGATATATAGCATATATATATAATGGGCTATTATAAATAAAATGGTGTTTTAAAAATAATTTTATTTTTCATTAAAAAGGAAATTGTCAAATTTTACATGACGCGCCATTTATCACGAAATATATCTCTGAAGGGCAGAGAATGTTTGTGATCTACATTTTAAATATTTTAAAATATGTTTACGTTTAAAGAAATGATACCTTCCGAGAGTTATATATATATATGTGTGTGTGAGCCATTAAAATTTTAGCTTTTGTTGCAGTTTTAAGTATGTACTGTACAAAGCAATACTTACTTTTAGCCATACTTTAATAAATATATTAATGTTTATCGCCGTTTTCTGCTAGAAATTATAAGTTTATACAGCATTAAATTGTTTATATTTAAGAAATAAGTACTTATACCACGACCGAATATTCATAAACAACTTTTATAAACTGTCCAGTGCACTCGGACGTTTGCTCTTACTCTCTGAAAAAATAAAATATGATCTGCAACATGTTCGAGTTTTTTTTTCCTTTATAGAAATAAAAACAAATTCAGAATAACGTTTTATATATTAATAGTTATAAAAAAAAGTAATTAAATCTTTACGGAGTTTTTTCTTCTTACTTAAAAGAGCAATAACACCAAACCACGTGATTCTTAATAAATAATTTATAAAATAATTTAAAATATTAGAGAAACGTAATCGATCTTCTGTTAATGTGTTTAAAGTAAATAAATTTAAACATCATTTTATGAGGAAGAATAAATCCAATAATTTATTTTGAAACTCGAGTTAAATGCTACTTATATATCGGAAATGGCTTAAGCAGTTTATTTTAATCGGATGTGAAATTTATACTGTTTATATATTTTGCGTATTTTAAAATGGTTAGAGGTTCTTTAGATTTATTATATGTATACTTCTTTTATTATGCTAATTAATCACGCTAAGCTTAAAATTGTATATAAAGTTCTAAAGAAAAGCGATAGATGGCGGTATCTGACGTCAACAACGAAACGTGAGAAAGTAGAGAAACACGTGGTGATGTAGATTACCAAATGAGTAGGATTAATGATTCAGTCGAGCGCCAAATGAATGTAAGTCAATAACAGCTGTAATGACTCATTTGTGATCAGATTGCCCAGTAGAAATGAAATAAATTAAAGGAGCTTCTTCCTTTAAACAGAGCCATTTAACAAGTATCAAATAACGTGTCCTGTTCACTGCTTTAATTCAAAGCTGGACTCCTTCTTTTTGGATAAAAAAAAAGAAAAAAAAAATATATATATATATATAATAATAAATTAAATTCAGACCTTGTTATAAGTTTCGAAACTCCGATCCTTTTTCTTCCATATAACGCTTCAGATATTATTTTTCACACTGATGTCTGTTATATGGAAAAGTAATTTTAAATGTGATACACTTAATATCAAAAATGATTGGGTATACAATATTTCTTTTGTATTATTCAACAAAATTTGGTGTTTAGGGGTTATTTACCCGATAATTTCGGAATCTGTAATAAATGCTCTTACCGTTAAAGAAACATAAAAAGTTTATAATAATGAAAATATTTATTTTATAAATAATATATACATAAAAAAATATTCCTCCCGCAGACCAAATACTTGTGTAGTAGAAGAAATTCCGGAAACGTCTCATAAATATTGGACAGAATGTAAATATTGGACAAACAGAGAAATCTGTGGAATTAATTCGTAAGTTTTTAATAAAGATATTTATACAACCTATTAAATACTAATAAAGAAACGAAAATTCAATAACTATCATTTCAATTATATGTTGTTTTCATTAATATTTTTCAACAATTTTATTTTCAAAAAATTATTTAAATATAAAAGAGGTATTTGCATTTTATTATATCATTCAATAGATTAAATACATTTAATGCATTTCTAGGATTATCAGATACGAATGTTGTGAAGGCTATATTCAAGTTGAAGGCAAACCTGGTTGTACTGGAGGTATTAATGTTATTAACAACAAGTTCTTAATTTTATTTTTAGTAGTAGATTTAAATCAAATATTTCAAAGGCATTTAAAAATTTATTTATTGTTTTCTTTGCATGTTTTGAAACTTCTATTTTATTTCTGTAAGCAGTTTTGATCTAAATATGAATATTTATTTCAATTATTTTAGGAATTTTTCTAAACACTGAAAGATTACTGTATATGAGATTAATAATTTAACCTTCATTTCTTGCTCTTAGCATTATTATAGAACAAAATAAATTGTACTAAAACTTTGGGGAAAAAATATTAAAACATAAAATTTATTTATTGTATAAAATGAAATGAAAAATATTTATTATTCTCATTTATTATTATTTTGAATATTTTTTATTTTTACTTAATTAGAGATTAAAATTTTATTAGCTATTTAATTTTAATGCCTTTGTACCTTAATTATGTATCTTTGGAAAAAACTTGAAACCTAAAGATGTTATCTACAAAATAATAAATAGTAAGAGATTTGAAATGAATAATAATCAGTTAGAAATTGTTTTGAATGTTTTATGTAGCTATTTCAATTAAAATAATCAATTAAACATTAATTTTTTTATAGTAAGATTTACAATAATAATATGAATGATATAAGGAATTTATTAAAATCATAATATTTCTAACATTATGAACATATTAGAATATACAAATACATTCATATAATGACCATATTTGTATTTCCTTAAATGATAAACAGAAATATCTTTTTGAGTAACATTTCAATAAAAAAAAAACTTAAATAGTGGTTACAGTATGTTTAAAATTAAAGGTTTCAACAATGATTTTAATATATTAGTACTTAAGGTAGTTAACACTTTCTTAAATCTTGAGAATAAACATTCTATCATTTAAAAGTGAGAGCAAAATATAAAAATTTTAAAACTTAGATTATAAGTCAAATCTATTTTTACCTTGTCAATCTCCAGAAACAGAATAATTGACAATAAATTTAAGTATAATACTATATTCTGCAATGTTTTTAAATTAAGTTGCATTCTTTATATTCTCTAGTTCTATTATTATTTTAATAAAGCAGTTTTTTTTTCCAGTGAAACCAATGTCTAATGTATTAGATACAGCGAGAGACCTTGGAGCGACTAAGTTTGTAGAATATTTAATTCGTGGTGGATTTTCCCAGCAACTGATACAAGGAGAGAAAGCTGTTACATTATTTGCTCCTACAAATGAAGCATTTAAAGTATTTTAAATATATAATATACATACACATTATTTTAATACTTTCTCATTTTCAAAATGTAGTTAATAACTATCTAGACTAAAATATAGTTTTAATATTTAATAAATTTTAAAAAATATATATTATTCACTTTAAGTTCAATCAAAATAATTTAAATTTTAAATTTTTATGTATTTTAATCATTATATTAGGCAATGGATTTGAATTATATTAGTTCCTTAGAAGAAAGCATTAATGAAAGGCGATCTCCATATCTCGGCTATCATATTATTGAAAATAAATTACTGAGTCGAGAATTACATGGCAATAATGAAGCAGAAACATTGTATAGTGGAAAAAAATTAAGAATTAGTCGTTTTGGAAATGGAGTAAGTTTACAGAATAAACATTAAAAAACTTTCAAATAGCTTATAAAAAAATAAAATATTATTTTAACTGAAAAGTGTCAATAGTGTCAAACATATAGTGTCAAATTAAAATAAATCATAAATATTAATTTAAATTATTATTAATTTTCAATGAATTTTATTATAAATAAATTGCCTTTTCCATACTTTTAAAATGCATTAAAAATAATAAAATATAAATCTCTAATGCTGTTTTTAGATGATGACTGTAGATTGTGCTCTTGTTGTACGTAAAGATCAACAAGCCACCAATGGAATTGTCCATCTTATCGATAAAGTACTCGTTCCACCACCATCTAGAGGACTTTCAAGTATTCCAGAAATTATATTTACTGATGGAAGATTTCGTGAAATGGCTCAATTAATGATAGAAACCAATTATGTGAATGAATTAAGAGCTAATGGGCCTTTCACTATTTTGGCTCCAACTGATGAAACATTTTACAAAATGCGTGAAAATGGAATATCTTTTTCCAACAACAAAGAAGCAAAAAGAGGTAATTTTAAAATATATTTAGAAGTAATAAATGTTTATGAATTATTATTGAAAACATAAAATGTAATTCTGCTGATTGAATGCTTTCAATAATTTAATTTATTTCTATGATTTTTAGCACTTTTGAAAAATCACATTATCCCACATGCTGTGTGTCCATCAGTTGTCATTGATAAACATCATCTCACAACACTTGGAGGTGGAGTTTTAGAATTGCATTGTAATAAATCTGGTTTATATGCAAATGATGCAAAACTGAAGAAAGAAACATTAATAGCTAGTAATGGAATGATTCAAGTTTTAGAAAATGTTATTATTCCTGACAGAGGTAAACTATTTTGTAATCAAAAATTAATAAATTTACCATAAATGTCATTTTAATTAATATTTTAATTAAATATTTTACAGCTAGAAGCCTGGAAGATTTAATGAAGAAGAATTCTGATAAAATTGATATATTTTTAAAAATTTTAAAAAAAGCAAATATGGAATCTATACTTAATAGTGCAAATCTTACAGTAACTATATTTGCACCATCGGATGCTGCATTTGAAACATTGGATGAATCAGAATTAAACCAATTGATGTCAGATGTAGAAAAAGCACGTGAATTAATTAATTATCATGTTGTCCATGGTAGACATCGATCTGACAATATAGCAGACAACCAAAAAGTCTTGACTTTAGATAGGCAGAATCATCTTCGATTAAAAGTTTACAGAAAGGTAAAGTTAAATGCAAAGTTTTATCATATAAATAAATATATAACAATCTAAAATACTGTAGGAGGTGGTAAAAAGTATGGATTGCATCCATAGGCAATGCAATTACTATTATTTTGAGCAATAGATTTAAGATATGTACTCCAAAACCCTTCAAACTGAGTGTAGAAGAGTAAGTAGGCTTACATTTTGGCATTTATCAATATGTGGAAAATTCTTGATGAGATATGATGATTATGCTGGACAGGAGGAGGTGGAGATATGTAATGGTTCCACTTCCTTCAACCCCTTCATGCATAATACTGTGTCCTTCTGCACCTTAATCAAATGCACTTATATTCACTGTTCCAAGGTCACAGATTGAAATGCCAGGCAGGACCATCTGTCTAGCACTACAGAATTGTCTCCAGAAGTGTAATATTGAGAACTTTGTATATACTGATCAACATATGCTGAAATGTAAGCCTTCTTCCTCCTCCTCCATATTCATACACTTCATAAAACTTCAACCTATTTTTGAATCTATCATTAAAAATAATAATAAATGCATTGCATACTGATACAGTCCTAATCTAAAATAGATTATGAAAGATCATTATAAACATAACTTCATCATACAACTAAAATTATTAAGTATAACAAAAATTTATTAATTTTATATGATTAATTAATATATATCAATTTCTGTAACTAATCAGATAATTTAACAAAATTATTTTTAATATTTAAATTCATACTTACAAATATTATAATTTTTTCATCTGGAAATCTGAAATTTAGTATTAATCTAATGTGGCTGGCTATAAGTCCCAAATTAGATGAGTCACTCCCACATTTGAGCTTCTATTGTCCCACTGTCTCCCAAATATTTGGCAGGATACTGAACATCCTGCTTTAGAAGAACAACATAATGAATGTTCCTCCTGATGACCTCAATTCACTGACTGAACAATGTTACCATATTATATAGGATGCACTGACAATTGATTGAAGTCTGTTGCATGTGTGTAGTAAAATTATAAGTCAACCAATACTCCAATACAATATTTCAATGCAGCTTCAGCAGTATCATTCAACCTAAAATCTGGTGGTTTTCTGTCTTGCTGGGACTAATGCACTCACTGGAAGGATTTCTCATGAATGGACTTATTGTTCTTGTTGACTTTTCTTAACCATAAATCTAGATGTTTATACTTGTTACAACATTGCTTCTGGTGAAATGTTACATTGATGCCTCTGGTACTGGGAACATTTGCAGTAACTATACAAGGCATTCAAACAGCACTTGGATCTTACATAAAAAAATTCACTCATTAGTGAAATGTTGTGCAACAAATGTTTTTCCAGCAGAGGACACAGTTCCAAACACTTCATTGATTCTGTGGCAGTTAGATTGAAGTAAATCATGAGATAATTTGAATTCACAATTGTCACAATTCAGTTTTTGTAGTATCCTGGTATCCTGCATATCCTGAAATGTATCTTGTTCCAGTATCCATTGTAGTTAATTGTTAATATAAACTTGCAAATAACAGGGTTACTAGATTAATAGTAGTTTAAAAATTAAAAATCTAAGCAGATGCTGACCTGAAAAGAAAAAATTGATCATTTTATTCCTCCCAGATCTCTCTTGTACAGACACTTCACTGTTGTTGATTTTAAGAAAATACTCTCAACAGAAAATAAAGCCTACTAGGATAAGTACTTATAATTGAAAAGACTACATAAAAAGTTGTTAACAAAAAACAACAATGAGTTAAAAACAATTTTTAATAATTCAACTGAACACATCTTATTATTAATTAAGAAGTTATTAATATTTATCCTTAGTGGGAACTTTCTTTAAAAATTCTTTGTCATTTAAATCAGTACCATTTAAAATATGACTATATATTTCAGGAAGTTCCTATTGTTACTAGGCTTGCCTTATGATTCACACAATTTATATGATTTTTAATGTTTGAACACCCAACATGAGTTACTGAAAATTCTGAAAAGCACAGTTCACATTTCACTTCATCAACATAATTGCAGACTTTTCTCAATCATCAGTAAATACATGGTTTCTTTTTGGCATTTTGGAGATTATATTAATTTAATGTACAGTACAAAATAATCACAAATGCCAACTAGCAATTTGAACTGGACTAAGATAGGACATGTGCAACAATGACATAACCAGTGTAAGTTTCAGTATTTCCAACTCTAATTGAAACAAAATATCTAAAAAATGAAATAAAAATATCTGGAACTCAAAGGCTACATGCTATTATAAATTCTGTGAAAAAATATCTGAATGAAAAAATAAAACATCTAAATTCATTAGGCCAGATGACATAAATTTTTGGGGAAAAGATCTAGACATTAAATGTACTTAGATCTAGATACAAAATATTTAGATTGGCAACAGCATGTGTAACAGAAGGGATTATTTAGTTGCCAAATTGCCATTTTACTTAAGGCTGCACTATTTTTACTTCTTGTATATTTGGCATTTTTAAAATTTTACCAAATAACCAGGACAAAATGACAAACTGGCCAGTATGCTGAGACCACATCATCAAATAGGGACAATCCCGGTCAAAACGGGATGTTTGGTAAGCCTAAGTATTTTTGTTGTGCTAGTTAATTTGTTGTTTAGCATTATCATATGATATGAATTTTGGAAAATATTTCCAACAAATTATTCTTCTTCAGTTGTATTTATTAAAAATTTTAGAATCACTTCACAGAAAACTGCTTTTCAAGGTTCATACCTATACTTTATCCTAAAATTTCTGATTCCTACAACCCACGTTCAGCCAAAATAAAAAACTATACATATGTTAAAAATTATATCTTCAAGCAAATTTGTCAGAAAATAAAATATTTTACTTTATTTTATACACAGCTATGTAATACAATATGGTTGTGATTTACAGTTCTTTTTTTCAAAATTTATCTACTACTTTAAATATGACAAATAATCAATTTTGTATGTTATATTCAAACAAACTCAAAAACAAAACAGTCAATCTTATATTCTTAACTCAAAAGAATCAAATAATCACTGAATAATATTTTTCCCAATTACTGGAAAAATGTCACTAGCTACATGACACTTGAAGTTGTTTATGTAGTACAATAAAAACAATTTTTAAGATGAGTTTATGAAAATAATTTTTTTATAATGCAAGCAACTGAAAAATTAAGCACAATAAAAAAAAATCTTAAATTTTTAAATTATATTTCTTATGAATGTAATTATAAAAAGGTAGTCAATAACATTTTCTTAGATTTTAATGTGTTTCTAAGATATGATTAGTCTCAATTTACATGAATCAGTTTTTTGTTCTAAGAACAAAATCCATACACGAATCATGATTATACTGTAATGTAAACTTATTGTGGTAATAAATCTTTAGACTTATGCTGTTTAAAAAACTGAAACTTAAAACCAGATATTTCACAAGTATAACAAGAATAACTGAAAAAGTAATATAATAAAACTTTCTTACAAGTTAGACAAATTGAAATAAATAAGCTTTATCAATTTCTCAGAAAGAAAATCAATTGAAAACTTGAATTCTGAATGTATGCAACAGTCTACATATATATGTTACTGGCCAAACCCAATTTCAGGCCAAACTTCTTTATCCTACGCATGTCAGGATATACTAGTTTAGCCTAGGATAATCTAGTTTGGCCTAACTACTTTAGGCTTAACTAGTTTGACCTAGGCTGAACTGATTTATGTACTACAAATATATGCCAGTGTAAAAAAAAATGATTTTGTGTAATTCGAAATGCCACCACAGTACACCCGGTGGTTAAAGTGTACCTACGTAACTGCAATAGTGGTGCTTCGGTTAGGTTGGTTTGGTTAGGTTAACTACAGTTTTAGTAGACGTTTCCTTTTTTTTCTTTTGTTCAAGAAATACTATGAATCAATAACTAGTGACGTTAAACAATGGGCAGCCTGCCAGCGGCTCCCCTTTGGGAGGAGTCCGCCGGGAGCACGAACAGTGTGAAGTGCCACCATTGGGGTTACCTAGGTACACTTTAACCCACCCTGTAAAAATAAATAAATGATTAAATACTTTATATGCTATACTAAATAACACAAACAAGTTCATTTTTAATTTTACTTTGACTTTAAAAGTTATTTTTATTCTTTCATTTGAATTTTTGAAAATATTTTTGAAAGTTAATTACCTTTAAAAGTGCATGGCGTAATAAAAAAATACAAACTGATAAGTACTGATTAGCTTATTTTTATTTTATAGTTTTGTACAAGTGTTGTGTCACTTCTAATCAATACCGTTTTTTATAATTAAGTAGACTATGTTTGAATAAATATTGTTCATCTAATTGATTGCCTTTTAATTTTATTTTAACCATTAATATACTTAAATCAGGCCTGGCCAATTAAATAAAATTTGCATGTGTCATTGTTATAATGAGCAAGTGCGAGTACAAACTCTTGGTATAACAATGAAATCTTATTCATTTTGTATTTATTTTACTTTTTTAAAAGCATGTTTGCCTAAATTGTGACCCATTGTAATGTTACGCGTGATCAAAGTGGCTTGCGAAACAATTTGGGTTGGCCAGGCCTGACTTAAATAATAATTCTAAATCAGTTCGGCCTAAAACAAACTAGTTAAGCCTAAAGTATTTAGGCCAAACTAGATTGTCCTAGGCTAATCTAGTATATCCTGACATGTGTAGGATATACTAGTTTGGCCTGAAATCGGGTTTGGCCGGTAACATATATAAAGAATCAAATTTTCTGTAAAGAAAAACAAAACATTTATTTAAAAATTACAATTTTTCAAAATAAATATTTAAAGAAATTGAGATGATTTATATTGAAAATTATTTTGTACACAAAATATGAATTAATTTATATGTATGTATGTATGTATGTATGTATTTATTTAGCATAGATTTTTTAATGTTTAAATTAAGTGATATTTATTCTACACAATAATTTTCAATTATTTAAATTAATTTTAAATTACAAAACTTTATATATTATAGTTGGGGTGATTATGTAAATGCAGTATTCACTTGATACTGGTATAAAGTTCTATGCTAGCTTAAAGTCAAAGTATACTTAATAAAAACAATTATTTTATCATGAATTTGTGTTGTTAATGTACAAATCTATATTGAAAAGTTCCTGATTATATGAAACATATTTAATTTTACTATTTTCTGTAGTACAATGTAAATGTTATGATTCAATTCTAATGTTTATGAACTTTTATATAGTATAAGTGATATAATTATGGATTCTTATTGTTTGAATTAAAGAAATTGTACAGATTCCTGGTAAATCCAAGAATAAGCATGATTGTCTGGTTCCCTTCAGGAATAAAAAGAAATTTTTGAAGATTATTTTTCAGATTAGGGGCATTCAACCTACAATTTAGGAAACTCTCTAAATTGAAAGATGATCTTCAAAAAATCTTTTTTATTCCAAAAGAGAAACAGAGAATCATGTCATAAATCTATAAAATTTCTTTAATTTCCAACTGTAAGAATATTTACTACAGATATTCCTAAAAATCAAGATTACAGGAGTATAAATGTGATCATGTTAATAAGATTAGAAAAAAAGTGATTAAGTTTGTTTACTTTTCAATAAATATAAGTATAGTTTGTAAAAAAATGATGAGAAAACTGTTAGATTCTTGCAGAAGAAGCTTTAGTAGAATTCTCAATTCTACTATAATTAACCAGCTAACTAACCAGACAAAAATATTTTTGTATTTTATTCAATTTTTGCTGTTTTAATGTTGCAGTTTATTATTTCATTAGCATGCAGGTAAATCACATTACTTTACTTTACTTTATATAAGATAACATAAAATATAGACACAGAACAATACAATATAAATACTTACAATATAAATAATTACTTCATATGTTCATGAACAACATAAAATTTATATTTTCACACAAAAATACATATTCTAAACATACACAAATGAAGTTTAATCTGGAAAAATGCAAAACTATTCAATATAGAATAATGATCAAATTTTATTCAGAACTCTTTAGTAGTTTCAAGATAGATTTTTAAAATTATTATTGTAAATGTGATAGAAGAAAGATAAACCAAAAATATTACCAAAAGTTTTGAAAAGATTTTAAGAGAAATAATTACTGTAGTATGAAAATACTTTTTAAACAGGTCAGAGTAAAAAATTTTATTATAATGCTAAAGTTTTACATATTTATCATAGTGAAGAATCAAGAAACAGAGTACATTTTTTATATTTATAAACGAACAGGATTTTTTTAAATTTTTACAATATCAAAATTTAACTATTTTATAACTTTTAAAATTATTCCATTCTGTAAATATTCTATTTTTATATAACTATAAAAGCATTTTTATGAGGAATAAACTTTATATTATTTTTTAACACTTGTAGACAAAGTTTACATTCCTCATTGTTTTATACACTTAAAAATAAAATATAAAAAACTATTGTCTGTTTGTATTGTATTGCTATTTTGTTTTTTTTTTTTTTTTATTATAGGTCTAATGGATTTTAGGGAGAGTTTATTGCTTTGCAACAGACATTAGACATTATTTATTTTTAAAAAATTATTCAAATAAACATTAAGACTTAAAAGTAAAGCTCTTTTTCTGAATAAATAATTTTTGATGTCTATAAATTTATATATATTTTTAATTATATATTTCTAAAATATTTTTTATTAGCAACATTAGAAAAGTTACTATAGAATAATCATAATGCTTGATATATAAATTTATTATTAAAATAGTTGGAGCTAAATTAAATAAAATAATTAAAAATTCTGTTCATTATACTTTAATATATAATTATTTAAACATTAAGATAGTTGTGTAATATTTATCAGAATTATATTATATTAGTAGATAGTGCTTTATTTTAAACAGGCTATAGGTATAGAATCTGCTGTAGTAAAAAGGCCTAACATAGAAGGAGAAAATGGTATACTTCATATTGTTGACAAAGTATTAACCCAACCAAGTACAAGTATCTTGGAAGTTGTTGAAACTACAGGTGACTTTAGGTAAGTATAAAATAAGTAAACCAGTGGCTTTACAATTTAATGATGATAATTTTCTAATAATTTGATATCTGTTAGCATGTTTGCTGATGCAATTCACCGTGTGAGACGAGAAGATCCAAAATTTCTTAGCATGGAATCTAAAATTGATACAACTTTTACACTTTTTGCACCTGTCAATAAAGCATTTCATAAACTGCATAAAGATAAATTGAGATCTTTAATGAGAAACAAGAGGAATTTGAAAAAAGTAGGTTACTTTTTCAAATATTTAAATTAAGTTAACAATAGACTAAATGTGTTAATAGTGCTCAATGATATTAGATAAATATGAAGGAAAAGGACTTGATATATCAAAACTTAATTATATTTAATACACTTAAAACAAAAATACATAATAATATGTTAAAAAATTAAATTTAACAATACATAATGATTCTTAAAATTCCATAAATTGAAAACATAGAAATACATTTTACTAGACTAAAAATTCATAGAATGGTGATAATGACGTATTAACTTATATTTTTTATCCTAAAAAGTGAACACTTTCAAATACTAAGATCAAATGCTACTTGCTTCAAAAGAATATTCATCTTAAATTAAATGATAAAATTTTAAATAAAAAATATATTCAGATAAAGATATATATTTTAAATATAATAATTACATAAAGTAAATATAGTATTATTTATGTTATATTACATGTATATTTTTAACTGAAAATACTTCTACAATAGAGTTTAATGAACAATGATTATTATTACTGTTTATAATGTTCTGACCAATTTACAAATGTGAGTTGTTTTGTGATTAGTATCAAATATATATATTAATTTCACAATATGCAATAATTATTTTTTATTTCTTTCTACATATATTAATCCCATATTACAATAATGTAACAAATGATTATTTCGAAAAATTTTTTCAGAGAAATCTTAAATATTTTATGATTGGCTTGATTTAATCAATTGAATTGAAATTATCACTTAAAATTAATTCTGTGTTGAATATTTATAAATTCATTAAATTTCACTTTTAAAATTGCAAAATTGATTTCTGTGACTTTCACACTGTTTAAACTTTGATTTGAGTCAGACTTGATGAAAAGAAACTATATGCATAAACACATCTTTATTGTGTGGTTAGATGAATGAACAGTTAAGATGACAGCCTACTGCTCTGGGTGACCCATCAATTAATTTGGTCAAGTCAAAAAACCCAGGAATTTTTCAGATGGCAGTCTGTTGCAGATATGTTGTGGTTCTATCCCTCATCACTTGGTCAAAACCATAATAGGTCTGATAAAAAAAAAAGACCCTCTTAGTACCTACAGAGTGGAAAGAATCAAAAATAGAAGATATTAGAGAACAAAGTTATGAGGTATAGACTTATAATAAAAATTTGATATAAAAATATATCAAATTCTAATTTCCAATATAAAATCCACACACAGTTTGTAAACTAATGAATAAAGCAATTTTATTTTTCTGACAAATGCAATAATTGCAAGTACAATTTTAAAGTTAAAAATATATCTTATAAAATAAATTTGTTACATTATGCTACATTTGTGCACTGCATTTTAGACAATCATTAAACTATGAATGATTGCTATTGCTTGTTAAATCAACATTTAGCACATTGAATCTTGGATAATTTTTCTGAAATAATACAGGTTAATAATAAATGTAAAAATTTTGATAGACCCAAGTTGTGAAAGCTGAGTTGGCAATAATATTGTTATCAGAAGAATTATAAATACAAACATAGGTCTGTATTGAAACAACAAGATGAAAGGAAGATAAAAAATTTACATGAAAGAAAAGATTGTTGCTGATGTATGGCTAATAACTGTAATTCTTAATACTTATTCAATAATGAGCATCAATCTTTTAAGATAAATGCTTTTATTGATTTTAAATTTTTATGGATTATTATAATAATCTATAAAATAGCCCAGACAATAAAATATGAAAACATTTATTTACAAATTAGAAAAACAATATGAATATTTTTATATTTTATTATTGTCCTGGTTAGTTTGTTTATTAATTAATTAATGTTTTTATAATTGTGCCATTGCCCTGGAAATTTTTTTAACATTTTTGCACATTGAGATAGGTCTCAATGTGCAAAATGTCTCAAATAAAAGGTCAACTCAGCCATTAAGACTTGTCCTTTTCAACACCTCAGGAACACAAGATATGAAGACATTTTATTGTTTTTTTCTAATTGTGACTATTTTTATATGTATTTTAACATAGGGGTTATTTTCAGATAAAACAGTTTAGTTTAAATAGATTTCATAGTATTGTGTAAACAAATTATATCAAACAACAAGGCAGCAAAATATTAGAACTAAAAGAATAATTTTGGTCTATTGCTAAACATAGAAAAATTGAAAATAAGATTGTTGAAACCAAATATAACATGTTCAAAATAATATGCTATATTCTGAATGCTTTTATTTCACAAAAAGAAATTAATCTGACAAAATGTGCAATATGGATGAGCAGACTATATTTTATTAATATACAATACTGCCATCTTTATTACCTAGTATATTCTTAAAAAAATGTTTCAATGATGATTAAGTATGGTTATTCTCCCAATATGTTTTTTTTTTCTCATTCCACTTACTCTATCTAAAACAATTCTGAAATTATTTGTTGGTATCTGAGATTAACATTCTTTTCTTCATTATCCTATCCTAACTTTGATATTTACAAATTTTTATAATAAATCTGTTTATTCTAAATTTTTGCTTACTAGAGTAATATTGGATGGCATTTCATTTTAAACCCTGTTATATTAGAAATGTTATTCTCATAAATAAATAATCTATGAATGAACAAATGTTGCTAATCAATTAAAACAGGTGATATCATAATATTAACTTTTTGTATTAATGGTGTACTACAGTTATAATTTCATAAACTTTCAGATATGAAGTGTGGATTCTTTACTTTAACTTATAAATATATAGTGCAAAAAATTAATTCCTAATAAAATTTTACATTTATATCAGTGAAATATTGTAAGGAATTCATTGCACTTTTATTATTTCTGCGTAGTCAAACCCTGTATATATTCTTAGATGTGTTAGAAGAATTACAAAGTAATTATCAGTTGTGATCATTTACAACAGTGATTCCCAAACTTTTTTGAACCACCACCCCTCCCTTGGTTGTGTAAATTTATACCCAATGCCCCTAACCTGTTTTCCCTTGTGAGAAAGACTTAGAAAAGTTTTTCTAAGAACATTTCCATGACCCTCACTCTTTGTCTTCACTGTACATTGCATTTAATGGTTTCTAGATAAGGAGAACAACATTTATTCTTACCTGTTTTAATGGAAGAAAGAAAAAAGATTGTCAGTGACCCAAACTCTTGTCTACAGACAGTGTTTGGTCAGGACCCTGATTCTAGTGCCTCTTTATTGTAAACACACAATTTGTTACCAAAAAACATAAGGCTGATGATAATGCCGCACTCAGTGTGTTTTTCCTTCCTTATATTCAATATTTGGCATGAAGATCAAGCTGTATTGTATAAATGAAATTGGCTAATTAATAAATAAACTATAATTTTTCAATATTAAAATTAAGTTCCAAACTTTGGAAAAATGTAAATTTTTACAACTATAGAGATTATTTAATAATAAATAGGCTGACCGTACTTTCTTGATACCAGGACAGGACAAGGAGCTAAAGATGATAGATATAAGAGTATACTTATTAAAATTTTGTCACAAAATATAGATGGGCATTATTAACAATTTGTTAGTACATTATTACTGATTTGCTTTGGTGGCATAAAAAAGAATATGTAAATTTCTCAAAAATATCAGTTTTTATTTTCAAAAATCTTTATTTAATTTGGTATCATATTGTATTGTTAGGTTGATGTAGAAAGTTTCCTATTGATAGAATCAAACCAAGCATATTTTTCACATGGATTTATTTTGCTGTCATTATTTTGTTTATGTTTTGGTCACTCACAATTTTATTGTAAACTTATCTTGTAAGTTGCAATTTTACTTTATAATTAGCATTTTTTTGTAGCTTCAATATTTAATTTTGACTTCTCTTTTCACCACACAAATTCAGAAGTAAGAATATTCTTTCTACAGACGTTATAGTTTTTGAAAAACAAAGAACTAATTTTATCAAATTATTAAAATCTTGGAATTCAAGATTCTTTTCATGCATTTCATTAAATATTTTGACCCATCTGTCTGCTATGTCAATTATTTATTTATTTATTTTTTCTTCATTTAATTTTTTAAAGTGTTCGGTTATTATTGTCTTTATTAACCATTGATCGATTTAATCTGTTTCTGTTTGTGTAATATATTCTTTAAATTTGTTGAAATTTCTGTATTTCATGACATATCTTCCTCACTAGTTTCCATTCAATTTTTTGACCCTTATCAAAGCAAAATAAATATGTTGTATATTGTAATCTGAAGTTGAGATTTGTTACAAATGTGTTTAATATAGAAACTAGAGAACTAAGTTTTTAATTTTCAACAAACAGGACAAAAATGAAAATTTTACTAAAACAAGATAGTCTGGACGGAGCAAAAAACCTACTCTTCCATTCTAAACATTATGGTCAGTCTATTAGTAATCACCTTTAACATTATTATTCAGTGACCACAGAAAAAATACATTTAAAAATAGGCTCTTGATATGTTTATCCAGCCTGATTATTGTTGAAACTTATTGCCCCATTACAGAATCACAATTTATGCTTATTTGTATGAAACTATTTTGCAGTACAATATATTTATATTTATTATTTATCCATGTTTGAAAGATAATATTAAAAATTATATATAAATTTAAGAATTAAGTAAGAATTTTTAAAAATAAGATTAATATAGAATATTTAATATACTATTAGTTGTAATTTAAAATAAATTTTAAGAAATTACAAAATTTATCACTATGATAACTACATTTATTTTTATAAATCTGTTTGCAAAATGATGATGATAAATTAGCAACCAAACCAGTGTGAATATACATTAGCTAAAATTAGTTTGATTTTTCTAATAAGATATTCAGAAAAATTTTAAATACATATATCAGAAAGTATTAGATAGCATAAATTGTATAAATTTCTAGAATATATAATTAAATTTTATTTATGTTACTTTTTATATAGAAATTTATTGATAGAAATTCAAATGTAGATAAATATGATTATGTAAATGTCAATGTTTGCACTACTAAACTTTACAACTACTAGTTTTAAAAAATTACATAACAGTAATTTTAAACATTAACAACCTAATAGAAAAAATTATTAAACTCTGACACACAATCCATTTATGTAGAAAAAGACTTCTGAAAACCAACTGATACTCGCTCGACCTTGGTCCAAATAGTAGAGTTAAGTCCCTTTTATAAAAGCTAGCAATTTATTCTAAGAAACAAAAAGGATCTAATTTCAAATATTAATCATATTATTAATGCTAGAGTTTCAAAAATTAGCTGTAAATTTATCATTGGAAAATTTCATTTTAAGATAAGTAATTTAATTTATTGATTTAAACTTTGTTTTCATTTTTCAGGTAATTCAGAATCATGTAGTTGACAACATGTATTCAACAGGATCTTTCAAATCTCAGTTAATGTATGATTTAAAAACAGAATTTCAAACAGTACATGTACATAAGGAAAAGGGTGAACTGATGGTAAATGATGCTCATGTAATTGAGTCTGATGTGCTTGCAACAGATGGTATCATTCATTGCATTGATAAAGTTCTTCTTCCAGAAACCAAAAGAAAATCAAAATCTATGAATTCAAAATTGATTCAGCGTAAACACAGTGAATAAAAATAAAACAAATTGTTTCTGATTTTAAAAAATCTTTAAACAATAAATGTAACATTTAATGATTTCAAATTTCACCAAAATTTTTATAAAACCTGTGATAAAAATTTATATCATTATTTAATATTTCATCATAATATATTTATTATTATTATTACAAAATACTCAAATATCAAATGTTTTATAATAAAATTCAATATTTTGCAAATTTTTGAGCATTTTTCCACTTTTGCATAATGTTTATAAAAATGTTTTTCTAAGATTAATTTCAAAAATGTATATTTTGGCTACATTATTGAATATATTTGTACGTTTTGTAACTATATTTAAAATAAAATTTCAAATTAATATTTGTAAATCTGAATAAATTAAATAATATTTATTAACAAAGCTATATGACATTTTAGATTTTTATAAAAAAAACTAAATATCATTTAATTTATTAAAATTTTAAATCTAATGTGAAAACTGATAATTCTCTCTGTATTGTTTTAAATGAATTTTAAAAACTATCTATATTTAACTCATAACAATAAATTAATTTGGTACAACATTTATAAATAAAATTTGAAAGAAATTGCTATTTAGACTAACTACTAAAATATATCATTAACAAGTACATTAAAATGAGGCAAGCTTAAGTATATCAAAATGAATATATTTTATTGAGTGTACCTTATTTTAATAAAATATAATTGAGGTACACTCAATTATATTTTATTATTGCAATTTATTATCTGCCTTCACTGCCATATACATGTGTGCACAAATGATAAAGTAATTGTGATTAAAATAGTTGCAATTATTTTTTATTCCAAAAGAAGAAAAACATTCTTTTAAGGATTGTTTTTAATGATAAATGTTTGACAATTTTATATATGTAAGTGAGTGTGTGTGTAATGTAGTATTATAGTGATTTTGTTTTATAGTATGGAATATGAAAGTATTATATTGTTGAGAAACAATGCTTTATGTATGTCAGTTGTTGTATTTATAGTAAAATATGATAATTTAACTTCATAAGTTGAATATCAATAAAATAAAAATGCTCACTTGCTTAGTCAAAAACAAAAAACAAGCCCAGTAAATTTACTATAATCATCATCATCAAAACCTTAATAAATTTTGATTGTAGGATATTATTTTCATTATACTAAACAACTTTTATGGCTATATATTTTTTATTAGTTTAAATGTACAATGATGATTTATTATTTATATGATTTTATGGTATATTCAAAATTACTAATTATTATTTAGTTAAAATGTTCCATAGAAAGGATTATTTAAACTGTAAATAGTTTAGTTAAAGCTGAAATAAGTTAATGAAAAAAATTTTTAATTTGGATAAAATCACTAAGGAAAAAAAGTAAATTTTCCTTCTTATTATAATTTTTAGATATATATATATCTTCATTTAGTGAAATTTAGCTTTATTAAAATTTATTTTATTCTTATTCAGTATCCAGCTTTTAAAATGAAATATTAAAAGCATTTTAAAAGTTGAATACTGAATAAGAATAAAATAAATTTTAATAAAGCTAAATTTCACTAAATGAAGATATTCTACTATTGTAATTTTCTTGATCAAGAAAATTTGATAAAATTTTATTCAATGTTTTCTTCTTTCTAGAATTTTTCTTAAAAAATGCTAACTATATATGCATGTTACTCTTATGTTTGTAGTTTAAACGCTCTTATTTAAGTAATTTAATCTTTTTTTATAGTATTAGAGATTTTGTAGTCTCAAATAGCTTATAGTGCGTAATTTCATAATGTATTGTAATAGTACAATTTTAGCAAATAATGTTAATTTTTAATTTATACCATTGTTCTTATTTATCACATTGTATATTTTATATAGAATAAAAGTGTTGATTTTATTATAATGAATGAATTAATAATCAAATATATTTTTTAATCATCAAATGTATCTGTAATATTCCTTAAACTATATTTTTATTTCATAAAATATCAATAATTATAACTGTTCTCTTTCTGTTGTTTTTGCACACCTTTTATTGTTATTATAAATAGTAGCAATTGGTCACAAGTAATAATCTGCCTACTTTTGGTCATTTGGAAGTTTTAAGCTATAATTTAACAAACATATTTTCATATCATTTATTGCTTCTTAGATCATAAACCATAAAATCTTATATTTAAATAATTATAGAATCTAAATGCTAAACAAAATAAGAGTTCCTAAAACATGAATTTCAAATTGACATCTCACCTATCATATTGGTGATAATCCATAAATTATGTAACACTATTTTTATACTTTCCAACTACCATCCTACTTCCCTGTAATGTTCCGTAATGCTATCGCAACCTTCCCCAAAGTTCATAATGCATATCTTTGATCCTTCTCTCTCCCTTTTACTGAACTAAGGAATAATAAACAGCACAGGGTACTAGACATTAATTATTTTATTAATTACAATTATTACATATATATAACATACAAAGCAGTTGCATAAACATACAGTCCACTATGCAACACTTCTTTCACATTTGTTTTTTGGAGAATTAGACAACGAAAATTAGCCTATATCCAATCTGAGTTATCATTGCCATTTGGCAAAAAAACTACCGGTAACTTGTTCTGAACATATTTAACAAACAATAACAGTTGATTTAAAGACCCTAGCATTACATTTTTTTGTAAACATTCTCATTCCCTTGTAATGATATCATAACATATCATTACGTATCATATCGACCCATTGTAACAATAACCTGTATAGGCCTACTCACTCACCCATATCTGCATTATGTAATTTATGGAAAGCCCCTTTACAGCCTAATAAAATTCAAATTTTACATTTCTATGATTTCTAAGATGTGACACATGTCAGCTATAAAAATTTTCCATAAATTCTCAACAATGTCATTGATACATAGTGTAAATGCTATATTACAGTATGTTGTTTATTTACAAATACAGTATAGTATATATCTTCTAAGATTTTCAAATATGTTAAAAAATGTTTACCAAAAAAAGGTTATAAAAATTCAATGGAGTCAGAAAATTTCTTCTTTTGTTTTCTTACGTAAAATGTAAAATTACGAAAAAATTATATTTTTCTTTCCCTTCTGACTTTTGGATAATATAAAACTTCAATTTTTCAAAAAAACAAGCCAATAATGACTATAAAATCTTTAAAAAACAGAGTTTAAAAAGGTATAAAAAAGAAAATAATCTGCAGAGAGAAAAAAATTTTTATTTACATCATTACTAACAAGCTTCCCAAATGCATTTCGCCTATGGCCTCTTCAGTGGGGCTTACAGCACAAAATCTACGTTCAAACAGTCAACTCATTGAAGAGCCACTTATACAGTTAACAAAAAACTCCCAGCATGCCGCTGTTAACATTCCGGTATTTAAATTAACATTATTGTTTTGCATAATTATAGCGAAGTGTTCTTTTACCTTTCGCTTTACAATATTTTTTTCCTTAAAAATTATTTTTAATTTATTAATATTAATCTGACAATTATTACTATTACAATGTTGGAAGACAGGAGAATTACTCATTTTCAACCTTACGGCAGCCAAATGTTCCGACAGTCTGATCCTTAATCTTCGTTTTGTTTCACCGACGTAAAAACTAGGATTGTTACACGTGCATTCTATCCGATAAACAACACCTTCTTCTTCTAATATATCTTTAGCATTATTTCTGATGATCATCATATTTGATAACCTGTTATTNGACATCGGATACGTTAAACTATTTTTTCGTATGTAAATCAGTTATCCGAAATATCAGTTATCCGGAGAACCCCAGTCCCCAATTGATTCGGAAAATCGACGCTGTACTGTATATATTTTTATTTCTATAGTTAAAGCTTTTTCAATTGGCAAAAATTTTAATATAAAATAAAATTAAAAACTCTATTCTTTAAAAGTAATTTAATGCTAAAAACAGCATTAAAATTTACCTACCTGAATATTTACAGGATTATACCAAATGGACTCTTAACATTTAATCCTTGATCATTCTAGAAAAACTTAATTAATTTCAATAATATAAAAAAATTATTTATGTAGTTTCATTTTTAAATTTAGGCAATTTTTAATTTTTTTAGCACAAAAAATAATGCTGTAGTGAACAGAAAAATGTAGTGTTATACTAAATGCTCAAAAACTCAAGATCATTGTTGATGTAAGTTTTGAATATCCAGATTTTCCCACGGGAGATTTAGAAGTTGATACTGATATGGTATTTAGTTATTTTAAAATTTATGAAAGAATTTGAGTTAATTGAACACAAAATTGAGTACAAAAATTTACTATGCAGTTTTTTGGCATTTGTTTCTCTTTTATATTTTATAGAAGGAAAACTGAAATTGCAAATATATTTAAAAATGTTTTTAAGAAACAGAAAAGCTCAAGATTTGATCTTATAAGAAGAAAAGTCAACACAGTTTGATCTGTTATCTTTATTACATAATTAAATATGATGGAATTATATGGAAATATTGTGTTACATTCATGATTCTATCAAAACATATTAAATAAATGATACACTTCAAAAATTATATTTTAAGATTTATTGCATGTTTGCTACCAATCTAATCCTGCAATTAATTGAATTAAATTAAATTGATTAAATTAATTGAATTGAATTAAAAATGATTTACATGGCTCAAAAATGAGAACTTTCATCTGGTTTCACATAGAGTAAAATTATGCTATTGATAGGATTCTAAAGTATCAAATAGACTTATATATATGTTACTGTGAATGACCAATATCTGACGAATGTCAAGATTCTCTGGTGAATGTCAGTATTTACACAGTCGTTTCGTGTATGTATGAAATATTTGCTAAATATCATTATTTCTAACTTACACTGGCAAATGTCGACATTAAGCATGCACTGATGGTGAATGTTGAATAAAAATATTTTTATTATGTTAAGACAAAAATGCAACTTTTTAATATGTCAAAATAGGAGAAAGCTTAAGTAATAGTGCATGTAAATAAACTGTTGAACCTAAAACAAACAGTACATCCTAAATCATTAAAAAAAATAATAAACTTACACATAAATTATGTGGTTAACATTATCCAATCGGTTAAT